GCCAGATGCTGCAGGTGAAGACCTTCAACTCTCTGATGATGCGCTTGACGAGGATGATTCCAGCCAAAGAGCAAGACAAGTCCAAGAGCTCGATCCCATCCTCAACAAGTCTGAGGGAGAACGAAGGTATGAGTGGCTTCAAATTGACCCTGAGATCAGAAAGATTGATTGTGCGTGACTTGCACATCAACTTTGGCCACCCCACTGCTGTCACCTTGCAGCGCATCTTGCGTCGTCAAGGCGCCAAACCAGAAGCTATCAGGGCGGCTGGACTTATGGCCTGCGATAGCTGCGGTGAGTCCATCCGGAGGAAGAGACCGAGGCCAGTTCGGCTTCCCAACCAGTATGAGTTCAACAGACATCTCCTCCTGGATACTATGTTTGCCAAAGACGCTTGTGGCACAACATTTGGATTTCTCAACATCATTGACGATGCCACAGGATTTCAAGTCGTTGCTTGTTTTGGTGAACTCCAAGGACCACCTGCTTCCAGAGCTGTCCTCAGGTACTTTACAACTTCTTGGTCATCATGGGCTGGCCTACCCTTTTTTCCATTCAGGTGGACCCTGGCAAAGAGTACATGGCCAACTTTGCGGATCACCTCAAGCAGTTTGGCGTTGAACAAGAGGTCATGCCACTTGAAGCACCATGGAAAGGCGGCAAATGTGAGAAGGCCGGCCACTTGTGGAAAGACCTTTGGTTCAAAGTTGTCCTGGAGTCCCAGATCATTGGCTTGGATGATGTTTTGCTTGCTGCCACCATCGTCACTCAGACGAGGAATTCCTTTCCAAGGATAAGTGGCTACAGCCCGATCCAATGGGTCCTTGGTGTTCCTGAACTACGTCTCCCTGGCTCACTTCTCAATGAGACAGAAGCCCAACAACTGGAAGTGCTTGAGGCTGCTGAAAACCCCTCAAGCAAGATGGCTCGCACTCTCAACATCAGGGAGAATGCCAAGGTTGCCCAGATCCGCATGGACACCGACTCTCGTGTCCGAAGAGCATTGCTTCGACAGTCAACGCCTGTGCGTGGCCCTTTCCCTGTTGGCTCCTACGTCTACTTTTTCCGAATGCAGCAGCAGCCTGGTACTTCAAGACAGTACCGTTGGTTTGGCCCAGGCCGAGTCATTGGCGTTGAGCTGCGGAACCCACGTCGCCTTGAAGACGAGGATGAGCCTACAGAGGGTGGCGCGCCACACTCATACTGGATCCGATATGGTCCAAGTGTGGTTTTGACAACTGGCGAACAGATGCGATTTGCCTCAGAAGATGAACTGTTGGCAGCACACCATGTGCCACACTATGCTGTTGCGAACTTGCAGCTCAGAGGTGCCCGTTCTTATGTTGATGCGCGACCACTTGGCCGTGTACCTGTTCAACCACCTCTACCTGAGCAACAACAACAGCCACGGCCACAGTCATCAAGTTCTCCGGGCCCTCTGCAACAAGGAGCTCAACCACGACAACAAGGTCAGCAACTTTCACCAGTCCCTGAGGACGCTGAGTTGCCACCGGTCCCTGAGGACCCTGAGTTTGACCTTGAGGACGCCCTTGATAATGCAGACCCTGAGAACCAGCAGCCACTGACACCAAGGCCGCCACAGCAACCACAAGTTGCTGTTACTGGGCACCATCGCCAACAAACAGGCGAAGAACCAGAACCTCAACCTCAACATCCACAAACGCCAAGACCTGGACCAGTACGACAACGGCCTCAACGGCAACAACAATCCCTCCAGGCAGCCATGCGACAGCCAGATCGACTTGATGGCCATCCTCCTGGCATGATACGACCTCAAAGAGACCTACGATCCGATGGCCCGTATCTTGCTGAAGCTGACCCCTGGGAGGATTTTTGCCCAGGTTTGGAATCCTCCATCCGACGACTTCGCCTCGATGGACTTAGAGGCTCGGATGATGAGGAGGACTCCACTGACGAGATGTCCAAGATTCAGTCCGAGCACATCCATGGATTTGCCTTCATGACCGGCAAGGCCGTGAAGTCAGAGATCAACCTCTTTCACCTCAAGACCGTGCTCTTTTTGATGCTGCCATGCAGAAAGAATGGACTTCTAGCAGAAGTTTCAAGCAGTGGAGGAGTTGTCAGAAGATGCCATAAAGCAGCTTCCTGCAGACACCAAGATCATAGGAACCCGCTGGGTCCACACTGACAAGAATAGCAAGCCTCGCCTGATTGTGAAGCACATGGCCCGCAAGACTGGCAAGACCCTTGAGCAGCTTGAGAAGGAGTATCCCTTCGAGGCAAAGTCACGCCTTGTGGTTCAAGGATGCCAAGAGGATGACAACAACATCCGCTCCGATTCTCCTACCTGCTCTTTGCTGGCCTTCAACCTTGTCTGTACCATTGCCACCATCATGCAATGGATAATTGGTGCCTATGATGCCTCAACTGCATACCTTCAGAGCAGTGGAATTTCCAGACTGCTCATTCTTCGAGCTCCGCGACCACCTCCACCAGGAGTTCAACCCGGAACACTATTCCGTGCACGTGGCAGTATTTACGGCACCAAGGATGCCGGGCGAAGTTGGTGGATCAAACTGTTACATGATGCCAAAGACTGCGGTTGGATTTTGTCACAGATTGAACTGGCACTTTTCTACCTCTTCGACGAGGGCAGTCTTGTGGGCATCATGGCCAGTCATGTTGATGATCTCATCACTTGTGGCACCGGCCAGAAGTATCATGATAGCCTGCAGGAATTGACCAAGCGACTTCACTTGAAGGAGAAGGTTGGCGAATTTAGATTCTGCGGAAAGAATTTGGTTCAAGGAGAAGAGCATCTCCATTGAGCAGATCGACGCCATTGAAGGCCTCGAGTACCAGATCATTGACAAGCACCGCAGGAAATTCCCAAACCTTCCTCTTACAGAATCTGAAAAGAGTGACTTTCGCAGGATTGGTGCAATGGGCTGGATAGCCAGACAAACCCGACCAGATGTGATGGTCAATGTGAGTATCGCCTCTCAGTCTATGGGACATCCATGTGTCCGAGACGTCATTGAGCTCAACAAAGCAGTTAAGATGTTGAAAGAGAGTGCTGACTTCAAATGGTGCTTCAGACCTTCAGCCATCACACTTGAGAACTGTGTGGTCTTCGTTTGTGCGGACTCCAGCTTCGCCAACACTGAAGGGCTGAAGTCTCAGTGCGGCTACATTGTTGGCCCGAGTGCTGGTTGGCCAGGTGACTTCTCATGGATAGGACTCTATGTTTGGTTCAGGCTGAGAAAGCTAACTAAGGCTCAGAAGGGTCAGCAGCAGGCAGGATGGCAAAGTTCAGGGGGCGGGTAAGAAAAAATAAGTAACAGGACCTGCAGGGTGTGGCGTTGCTTTCTTGAGCTGCTTTGGCTGAGCTCGGCTCCTTGTTGCTAACCAGCTTGTCTCATCTTGGTAGTGTTTGTCGGGTGTTCTTGGTGTCACGCCAACAGGACCAAGGCTGGGAGACAAGAGGACCTGTTGCCCTTTGTGTTGGCCTTTGTGTTGGCTTTTCAGGTCCGCTTTTCTTTAGCCGCTTTGGCTGAAACGCAAAACGTGGAGGCTCGACTCCTGCGGGCTCCCCCTTTCTTTTGTTGTCTCGTTGCTAACCAGCTTGTCTCATCTTCGTAGTGTTGGTCGGGTGTTTTCGGTGTCACCTGGACAGGACCACGTTTGCAAGCAGGACGACAAAGGCTAGGAGACAAGGGGACGAATAAGCCTGTTGCCCTATGGGTGTGGCGTTGCCTTCTTTAGCCGCTTTGGCTGAGACGCAGAACGTGGAGGCGCGGCACTTCCCAGGTCCGCCTTTCTTGTGTTCTCTTGTTGCTAACCAGCTTGTCTCATCTTGGTAGTGTTGGTTGGGGATTCTCGGCGTCAAATGGACAGGACGATGTTTGTATGACAAAGGCTAGGAGACAAAGCTTCCCAGGTCCGCCTTTCTCTTTCGCTTGGTCAGAATGAGAGACGTCGCGCAGCCTCAACCAACTGACAGATGTCCCTTGGCGTGGTGTTGGAGGGCACCAAAGGCGGCAAAGGCAGTTTGTAAGAGGGATAGTAGGATAGCCGGGTAAGATATGATAACAAGATTACGGACGGAATGCTTGGATAGACTGCGCAAGGATCGCAGCCCCAAACTCAGACTAGTAGGAGATAGTAAGATAGGGGCAAGGGCAGTGGGAGAGCAGCAATAGGAGAAGGGGGCAGGATTGTAGGATAAAGGGACGGGATAAAGGGGACAGAGAAGGGGGACAGGGGATGGGAATATGGGATAGGGGTTGGATGGAATAGACAGGGATGATAGGACTGAGTGGATGGGACTAGGTAGGTTAGGATGGGATGGGTGGGATAGGATGGGATAGACAGGATAGACCGACAGGACGTAGATAGTCAGGATAGAGAAGATAGAGAGAATTTAGAGAGGGCAAAGAGGTAAAGGAAGTGCAGGGGTGGGATACTTCAGAGGAGGACAGATTACAGGATAGGTTAGACTGCCGATGGATATGGATAGGCGCATGCGCGTTTTACTTTTCCAACCTGCACTCCCTAAACCAAATTCTTCTCCATTATTCTGTTGGCCTCCTTCGCTTCTATCCCGCCTTGTTGTGCATGGTAGGACTCCCCAAAAACTCTCCAAACTACTTTCTCAACTCAGCAGCAGTTAGAATGGAGTCATGGCACTTGGCTAAGGCAGCTTCTGACTGGGCCATCTTTGGGCTTCGTCTCAGCTAAGGAAGGCGGCCCAACCATCAACCTCTCGCCGGTGGGAGTCACCGCTCTGAATGCTTGCGCTTGAGGCACCTGCGCATTTCTTCCATGTGTTGAAGGTTGTTGAAGGGTTTGTGTATGTTATTGACCTCTGTCTTTACATGAATGACTTGGAAACCACTTGGAAATCATATTGGCATGTGCGCTGATTTCTTTCGATTTTGTCCCATTTGAATGCGCGGCCAAGGTCCAGACCGTGGCTTGGACTAAGCACCGTGAAAATTTCTTCTGAAGGAGAGTGCACGGACCGCATTTCGGACATGGGGACCAGTGACACCTCAGGAGCAAAGCCAAAAACGGACCTCCACCTAGTGCTGTTTGACAAAAAATTAAACAAAGATCTCCAAGTTCCTCACAGCTCTCTCTGCCGACTCGGAGACCAGCCAAAGCCCCGGGTGTAATGAGTGTAATGGTAGCTGCAGAGACTTGCAAGGCCCGCGTTGACCAAAGCTCCGATAGTACCTTGACTCTCAAGGCTCTCGAAAGACTACTGACCCAATATTCGACCGGATGCTGACAGTGCGATTTGATTTCTGCGTGCTGTCAAGGGACTCTACTTGGATGTGCCCACCTCGCACAGCCGATAGCCAAAGGTCAAGAAATTGCAGTCATCGATCCCACCACAATGACAGAATGAGATATGACGAAGAAATGCAAGTCTGGCACTATGTCTCCACTTGAACCATGTCCTGATGAGCAGAATACGCCAAGTACTAGCCCTCAGAGCTTTTTGTTCTGGAATCCAAATGCCACCCAGCGGCTGATTGATCCACCACCCTCTGCCCAATTGTCCCCGAGAATGTTTGTAACATCCAGCCAAATCCTTGGAGAGGGTGGATGAAACATCATAACTTCAAAACAGGCCGCTGGCCTGAATCCAAACATTTACTACCTCAAAGCCGAACATGCAATCTGAAGCTAACAATTGTCAACATCTTCCCTCCAAAAACAATCTTCAAACATCTTCAAAACCAATCTTTTGGATCTTTCAGGATCGTTTTTTCTGTCTGCAATTTGCTAGAAACTTTATATCCCTGGGACATGGCCAAGCAGCGGCCTGGTCGAAAACCACAGAAGACCATCTTGCCTTAAAGTCATCGCATGACCTTGCAGCAGAACGTAGCTGTCGATGTGCGCATTGATACCTTGCTGGCTGAAAGGCTGAAAGGCTGAAAGGCTGAAAGGCTGGCAGCTCCAAAGTCCATCATTCCCACAGGTTGCGGGCTAAGACGGCGAAGACCCCAAGAACATATCTTAAGAGGCACGTAATCCCGCAACCTGCATTGCCAAAATTTCTTTCCGGCATGAGCAGCCATAAAAATCACTAAAAACCCAAAGATGCGAAAAAGGTCGTCAAGGTCGTCAAATCCTCACCAATTCCTCAAATCCTCACCAGTTGAATCAGTTGAATATATTTGAATCAAGTTACAAAGCTCTTCACATCCCTCGCCATGGAACTCGAAGTGCAATCCCAGCTCGCCTCGACCACTGGCCGCGCTGGCGGCCTCGCAATTTGTTGTCTCCTTGCTGGACTCACTCAGTGCCTCTGAGGAGACCTGAGGCAAACGAGAGAGCAAACGAGACGAGAGTGCGACACAACAAATACAGTTAACATAAATCAACTGTATCTACATGTTACATATAACATATATATATATATATGTGTGTGTTATATATATATGTTATATATATATATATTATATGTTATATATATATAACATATATATATATGTTATATTATATGGTATTATATATACTATGAGGCTCCGTATATATATATATATATGTTGTATATAAGTTCGTCAGGGCAAGTGAAACATGATGACATCAGCGTGTTTCCCTTGTCAGATTTCCTTCACTGCTGCCATAAGACCGTCTGTGGATAGAACCTTGACACACGGCCAAAGCCCACGTGAAACGATTGGCCAAGCGAAGATCGGGAAGATCGGCCTCAGATTTTCAGTTTCGTGCTAGACTTCGCAACAAAAGTTATGCTGTCACAATTGAATCATTTGGGTTGCAGTATATAGATCAAACACCTCGCCACTTGACATAAAAGTACCTATGTCATCCTATGTCCAAACCCTGGCACTCAAATCAAGTAGACAAGTAGACTATGGAATGTGAGTTCGGGAACTGCAGATTTTAAACAGACCCAAATCATCCCAGATTTCAAGAATCTTTCACCAATGCAAGTGGCCATTCTCCTGCGAGTGTCTTCCCACCCTTTGCACTCTCCTGACGCAACATGAACACGGAGCATCACGGAGCTGCCATGCAAGCGCAGCTCTGCAAAGGAGCCCCGCCTCCAATCAACGCCGCCTGAAAAATGCGGGCCAGGTCCCACAACTCAGGCCCAAAGCCATTGGTTAGTCCTGTCTTCAACATCTTATGTTAGGAAAATATTCGATTTTGGGACCAAATTAGTAAAGTCTGAGCCTCTGGCAAATGTGTCTGTTCTGCCAGCTGTAAACAGCTGAGTTGACCCAGCCTGGATTGGCACCAGCTGAGCTTTTTCTCCCTAGACTGACGCTCCAGCAATGATGTTTACAAAAATATGAAACCAAGACAAACCATGGTAAACCAAGATAAACCAAGATCGTCCACAGTCACATCTTGGTCCCCGACCATTGCTGTACACCGCCAGCGTGGCTACGTGCCGGAACCTTGGTCAAAAAGGGCAAAACTTGGGCCATGGTCTTGGCGACGGCGACAGCGGCCGAGGGTCCGGCCAATGATGTTTCGGCATCATGCCGATGTAGAGCAGCCACTGCGGAAACACCTCCAGGATTCCCAGGAGAAACGACCAGAATTTTTGCAAACTTCAACAACTCCACAACTGAACCTTAGAATCATATTGCCTAGCCCAATATCTTGTCATGGTATAGATTCCACTGTCGTGGTATGACCAAACACCTTTACCTAACAACCCAGAAATAAACGACACGTTCCCCAAGCAAGAATTTTCAGGAATCTGGAAAAACTTTTTCAATCAAACCACATGAAGTTCTGGTTGTCTCGGGTACAGGTACGTTTTTAACCCAAGAATAGGGATCAAAAGCTTGAAGCATCGAGGAATCTTGCTTTGTCTTCCTGCAAGTCTACTTGCGATTCTCTGGCTTGACAGCTAGCTATGTGGCGACAACTAAGCAATGGACTGTGATCAAGAAGCTGCAGGGGAAAGCCAAAGCCCTTTGGGAGGCTCTCCTGTCGGCTTACAGGATCTACCGGACACGGGTTTTTGATTTTGAAAGTCATCCCATCATCATTGGGAATCCTTGTATTGGTCATTTAATTCCGATCTCTAATGGTGGTATATGGTGGTCATCTGGTATGACAATCCCCAATAAAGTATGGATTCCAACTCATTACACAAAGCTGCTCAAGATATGACTGAATTATGTTAAGTTACTTCACACATTTAGTCGAAGTGTCCCCAAGTGCGACCAGGTCAATGGCACTTTTTATGGAGCCCACGTCAAGCCACTAAAAATGTTTTTTCAGTCGGTTGAATTGGCTCAATATGGAAACAATGCCTGTGGAATCTGTGGAACTGTCTTTTTAAAAGCTTGAATGTATGGATCATTCATTGTAAAAGGGTGGATCAGCTGCCTGATGAAACGATACACTGTGCTCACCCTGCGAAACTCTCGCCTTACAACTGCGCTAGGTGAGGGTGTCCACAATACCGCCAGCATGGAAATCACATACATCAACAGCCTTGGTCCAAGAGCCCTCTCCGTGAACTGGAATCACATGATGATTGATGAATTTCAACAAGATCTTGGGTGAGAAGTCAGGGGGATAGCTTGGGAGACCTCCCAGGAACAGTCGATAGTGAAGGTTCAACAAGAAACCTTCAATTAATTTGTAAAAATTGGAATGATTAAGATCCGATAAGATATTATTACATAGGGATCGTTTCTGGGTTGGCTGAAGATACATACACCAAAGAAAAAACAACTTCCAACAAAATCTACGACACGCAGTTTGTCTGAGGGAGCAGCGAAAGGAGAAACGTGGTGCAAAGTACCTGCTCTGGCGAAGACAAGTGCGGATGTGGGTTGTTTTGTCCCAGCATGGCAAGGCTCTTGCACAAGACTAGTTTTCCGGATGCAAATTCTGTTGACCCAGAGCCAACTGATTGGACAATTGGAGATCGTATTAGAACTTCCCACCATTTTCAATCCGATTTTGACTTTTCGATGTCAAAACTGCACAGTCCAACAGAAAGGACGCAAAAAAAGGGACCCTTGCTTCTTCACACAGCATTGTGCTGTATCCAACAGCAGCGGCTCCGGCGCACGACGGCAACAGCTGCCGCGAAATGATCAAGGTCACCTTTTGGTGGAGCTGAGTTTTCATTGGGGTACTGGGGTACGGCCATATTTTGGGGTCCAAAACTTCAGCTGAATTTGGGTCGAGGCTCAAAACCTCACCCCTGGCATGCAAGGAACATCATGGAACGAAACAAGCTCACCGAACGAAACTGCATAGCCATTTTTCTGCAGTGCCTCCGACAGGATCATTCTTTGATGCTATCAGTGAGGCAGCTGGCTCACATCTTCATACCTAAAACAAATTACAAACAGCGACATGGAACTAAGCCCCAGGGATTCACAGAACCAGAAGAAGAAGGGCGCATTGGCTCCAATCCAACTGCTGATGAGGCAGACCATTCCCGTGAAAATCACCCCGGCAAAGCCCAGGATGGCACCCACCCGGAAGATTTTGCAAGCACGAGCTCTCCAGCTTGGCAGGCGATCCAAGTGAAACCCCATGATGAACGTGTGAGCCAAGCCGGCATTGCAAAAGATCCCGACCACCAACGTGTGCATGCAAAGGCCAGAGGTCACAGGATTCATCAGAAACAAACCAAAGAAGACCTGGAAGATGATCAAGGAGATGTAGGCGCCCGGGCTATCCACCCAGCGATTTGGGAGGTACAAAAACATGCAAGGCCAAAACTCGCATGCTGCCATGCCACCTGTGGCTTGAGCATTGGCGATGTAATCTGAGACACTAGCACCTGCTTCAAACCAAGTGTTGAAATGCAGGAACTCCAAGATCTTCCGGACCCAACTCCAGTCGATCAAATACGCACAGTGCGGATATTCCCAGACTTCACCTTCCACGGTCTCTGGTTGGCATGTATGCGCCCAAGCTGTGGTCTGCAACCATGGCAGAAGCCACACGTAGATCACTGCAGTGAGGCTCAAACAAGTTTGAAGCCAAACGCTCCAGTCACTGAAGGTCAACAGCAGGATGCCTTTAGGAAGCGGCAACTGAACAACGGCCACCCCCGTTGCCTCTGCTTCATCTTCGCCTTTCATGAGCATCTGTTGATCTGAAGTCCCACAGCAAAGAGACATGGCCGTCAAGCTGATCGGCAGGAGCTTTCACCAGCGCAGTTTCTGGGTGATGGGTCAAGATTGAGAAGCAACAAAAATATTGGATATTGGATGCTTGCATATTCAAAATTGTACCTGTGCAGTTGCCATAAAAGCTCTTCCCTGCCAAATCTGACTCATCACTCCCAGGCTCCTGCCTAAGTGAGACAATCTTTGGTCTGATCACCAGCTTGGACCTGCCTTCTTGCTCGACAAAGTCCAAATTGATGGTGCAAAGCTGTTGCTTTTCAATCTAACCGAAAAAGACTCTTTCCCCGAATGCTGGGGAGATTTGGGTAGTATAAAGCCCCTAGAGTCACCAACTATTTCTTTTAGAAATTCAATGAAATTCTTACCTATCTTGAAGCTCTCACAACTTCACAACCGGACAGCCGGCACCATGGCACCTCTAGCAGAGACAGCGTCTATGACCTCTGCAAAAGCAAAGCTGGTAGTGGTCAGCGTATTGGGCTCTCACAAGTTACCTACCCCGCTAGTTGGACAAGCTGCCACACAGTGGCACCTTTTTCCTTCCTTGAATGCACGGTTGTGCAAAAGGGGCTGCGGTCATGAGCTATTGTCATGCCATGCCGTCTCTACCTAGTGAACTGCCTAGCTATCAACAGTAGCTACCTAATTCCTAGGTTTTACCCTTTGCAGTTTGCCACCCTCCTTAGAGTGGCATGGCTCACTGCCGGGTTCTTGGTGAGACGTATAGCTACGTACCTCTCCTGGCTAGCTGTGGCCAGAGAAAGGGCTGCCGCCACTGGAGCTGCCGCCTTCGATCCCCAGAACTCTGTTCTCGGCCTCGCGCCACTGCTGGAGCTCATTTGGACTCATCCCATCAAAGGGATCTAGCGGAGCTTCCCGCTCAATGGCTGGGTCTCCCGTCAAGAGCTCCGGGCCGGAACTGGAGATCGGCGGCTCCGCCCGCTCGGGCGGTGCTACCCGCTCAGGCGGTTCCTCCCGCTCAGGCGGTACATCCCGCTCAGAGGCGGGGCTGTCCGCACTGTGCGAAGTTGACTCACCTGGTTCATCTTGGCTGGAGTCTGGGTCTTGCCCATGAATCAGCCTTTCTTCGCGCCTGCGCCATTCGATCAGCTCCTGGAGGGTCATGTTGCTTTCTGCCCCTCTTTGTACCCACTGTTCCTCTGACCAGCGCTCGATGCGACTAGGAGTTAGTTCCTCCTGCCGCGGGGTTTCCGCCGGTTGAGGCTGCGGGGCTTCCGCGGAACCTTGCCGCGGGGCTGCCGCTGGCGCATTCACCGTCTGGCTGATGTTCAGCTGTCTACCGTCTCGGTAGGCGGTGATGTTGAGGCGCACCGTAGCGCTATCCAGCTGAAGTTGCACTTCGGTTCCTTCAACTTGAACCGGTTGTTCGGGAAGTTGATTTTCGCCTTCAGGCGGGAAAAGCCAGTCTGTGATCAGCACTCCTAGCTGATACAGCTTCACATAGATGGCTAACAAGCCTATGAGCGCGAGGATGTACAGGACAATTGGATTGATCCACTGATTTCCTTGTCCCTGCGCTCGCACTGCGGTGATCTGGCTGAGAATCACCAATGACTTGATGTAGTTCACACTGCCCTTTGTTTTCGGGGCGGTGCTGCCCGCTCGGTCCTTTCTGTTGTCAATCCAAGCAACGCTTGCTGGGACCGGAGTCTTCCAAGCATGCTGCTTGGTCACAGTCGAGACCTTGACGGAGATACGCTTTGTGGATGATAGCACATCCTCTCCGTCGTGAGCTTCGCACATACCCAGTCCAGGTAGGGCTTGCTTTACCTCAGTCCCTGACTTGGGATGTTTCGTCAGAAAGTTTGCACAGTTGAGCGTTCCTTTCACCTTTCCCAAGGCGAGCTGCTTTGACTGGATCGCTCCCTGCACGTAGAACTCACAGACTTCCAGGTGCCTCAACTTGGCTCCTGGACCTATGCGTTTCGCTGCCTGCATGGCCGACGAGCTGTCGGTCCATAGGCGGGGCTTCCCGCCCAGTTGGCCAAAGTCTAAGGGAATGAGATCGCGCAAGTAGAGAGCTTCTCTGGCTGCTCTGGATACACCTCTTAGTTCCGCATCTGGGCTGCTAGTAGCTGGCAGTCCGGGTTGCGTCTGGGTTGTGCAAGCAACCACAGCTCCACAGACTACTGCCACATGACAGTCGGTGCTCCTTCGGCTCTCGAGGCACCCTGCCCAGTCTGAGTCGGAATACAATTCTATGCTCCACTCGCCAGTCGCACTTGGCGGATCACATGTTACCACCCTGCCAACCGTGGGGTGAGTTTGCAGGTATGCTGCAAGTGTCTTCACAGCTTTCATGTCACACTGCCTTGGCTGCGACATGTGTCTCGCTGCTTCCTTCACAGCATATTGTATATCTCTGCGATCCAAACTCAGGTAGATCGCGGATCCTACTGCGCTGCGATATCGTTTTGCTTCTTCTTCGGACAGGGGAGTGGTTTCCAGAAGGTTCAATTGCTTGGACGGAACCTCACTCCTGTCACGCGCGGAGATACCCGCTGCGGAGATCACGGCTTGCCTGTGCTTTTCGTCTGGGATGGTGAGGATTGCATCTTCACTGCGCACTTTGGTGCGTCCCAGGTATTCCACTGCCGTTCCCTCCTTTTCGAGTTCTCCCGCTTGCACTTCGCAGTGTCGCGGTAGTTCTTGTTCGAAGAGATGCGCTAGGGCCTCTGAAGGTCCTGCTGCGCGGATGTCGTCCACATGGTGCAGCAGTACAATGCCAGTCTTGGTGCACCGGAAAATGCACGGATCTTTCTGACCCCTGACAAAAGCATACCGCTGCGGGTCTACCCGCGAGCACACTATCTCTTCTAGCTCATTTCTATACACAGATCCGGCCGTTCTTCGACCGTAGAAATTTCCATCCAGCCGGAAACACATTTCCTTGAACCGATCCTTGTACCACTGCCGATCCGCCGGGTTGACTTCTTCGAGCCATTCGAGGAAGAGATCCCACCATTCGATGGGTGCTCGGACATAGACCGGTTTACCTTGTGCTGCGCCCCGGTCCCTTCCTATGAGGAAGGCTGCAACTATGTCTAAGCTCCTCGTGTAGAACTTGTTCATGAGGGCATATACTTCTAAGACATTGTGAGACTCAGGAGTTGGAGGTGGCACGAAAACATCCAGCTCAGCCTCTTGTTCTTGGGTGTATCGCGCCTTAACGTCTGCGCATGTGAAGCGCGACTTGTAAGTCCCTCGTGAACACTTGTCTACCCATTTGTGACCAAAAAGCTGCGATCCCTGGGGTATGTCTTTTCTGTGGATGGGAGTGAACGCTCCTCGCTCCCACAGCTTTCGCAGTTGTGCCTTTCGGGCTTTGGATACCTCCTCAGGGTCGAGCATCTGATCGACGAATTCTGTCACATTTGAAATTCGCTGGATCGCTGTTGGGTCGTTCGGTTCTTCTGAGTTTCCCCATTGCTGGATTTTGTCCCAAATCTCTTTGGTTGTCAAGTGCTGCAAGATCCCTGCTTGCCGGGGCTGCTTTGCATCAGCATTCGCCGGTCTTCAGTTCTCCCGGATTAGTCCTCTCTCGTTTCCCTCCTGCCCCCAATCCAGATGGACTCATGGGTTCATTGGGAAGACTTTGCAAGTTTGAGGACCATCCCGCTCCCCGAAAGGGCGGTGGAGACCCGCTCGGCCCGTGCTCGGGCGGCGGAGGATCTGCAATCTCGGATTCCGCTGGCGTTGTTGGAACGGGACTGACGTCTGCGGGGCCACCCGCTAGATCTGGAAATTCCTCCGCATCCTGCATCGGTTCCAGCTCTTCCTCTAGCTGTGCCGCGGCTTGCACCACGAGGGCGTTGTGGTCGACGTTGTGTCCGTCCACTGCCAGCGTCGGATGCTCCCGATCTGCTGCTTCTTCTCGCTCGGGGCTACCCGATGCGGCTGGTGCTGGAAAAGCGATTGGCTGAGACAACTCACGAGTGATCTTATGCCTCACACCATCTCTCGGCTGCCAAGGGGTTCCCTTCATGGCTGCCATCAGCTCTGAGCTGATCTGTCCCTCCTTGGGCAGTCGCCTTATGGACCGCACAGCGATTGCACCTGACGCTGTGCCGAGCACATTGCTGTCGTCCCTGTCCAGCTTTCCAAGCCACACTCCTTTGATCCATCGGCGTTGGATCTTGCCTTTGGGGCTCGGCACCTTGCCAAGCACTATTTCTCCCAATGTGGCTACAGGATGGTTGTAGTCACCTCCTGTGACCAGCTTGTATGGCGTCATGCCATCTCTGCTACGTGTGTGGTATCTGGCTATGAGCCACGCCGCGTGGCGCACAAGCCATGGCGTGAGGTTGCTGCTCACGTCCAGCTCAGGATACCTCTGCCTGACATCTAACCACAGAGTCCGGATTTGCGAAGCTGCGAATCCGTTCATCGACTCCACAGTTCCTTGGCTCTGGTGTTGCTTCGGCGGAGCTTCCCGCACAGAGACCTTGGATGCACCCACATGGCGTTGGATGCTATTTGCCAGGGCTCTTATGGCGGGCTCGCCATCGTGCTGGAGGATGATCTTGTCATACCTCAAGTTCTTGAAGTAGAGGTCGATGTTCTGCAGGCAGTATTTTGACTGAGCCACCTCCACAGACTTGTTGGGGAGTTGAAGTGTCAATGGCCATCCGGTGCCGGTATCGGTCAAACACAAGATGGTCACAAGACGAGATTCGTCTTCTACCTCTTCTTCCCGTTCTGGAGACAGAAAGAAGTAATCCATTTGGACCACCGAGATACCCTGATCTCGTTCTGTCGACTGGTCTCGCTTGTGTTGGTCTTGGCGGGATTTCCCGCTCACACACTCCTCGCACCATGGCGCGAATGGCAGGTGAGTTAACCGATGCTGCTGTCGCTGTTCTTCTGTGGGGCTTTCCGGCTGAGGTAGCCCTCTTGGTTCAGGCGGCTCCGGCTCGTCTGCCGCTTCTTCCAAGTCGGCCAGCAGGCCGGGATCTTCCGCCTGCATGGCG